TAACCTTACTTTCATGTAAGAAGCCAAACAAATGTTCTATAAAACTCAGTTTTGTGAAAATATTGGAAACTGTTCTTGTGTTCATTGAGATATTAATAAAACTCTGACTTTTCAATAGGAGTGTACTGTAGCTCAGCACTGTATGTGTTTTTTATGTTTATGTATGTATATATATATATATATATATATATATATATATATATACATATACACACTGTATGCCTGAAAGTGTTCTCACTACAAGGGAATTTCTACCTGCTATGGTTTCTATGAACTAATTTATGTAGCTACATATGTAGTTTTTTGCGCCTACAGTAGTAATACCAAGCTTAATATACTATGATCTTATAGTAAAATACAGCTCCTATGGCCAATTCAAGTAAAACAAGTGTTTTTCCAGCAGCTGATGGGGGAGGCATTGCTGGGGCAATGAGTAATCTTGCAAGGGGGTGGTTAGTTGGTCCAACAACTGCTGATAACTGGTCAACGCCCAAGGGGTTCATGGAGGCAAGCTCTCATCCTCTTGCGTAAGCTCTCATCCTCTTGTCTGTGGATGAAGAACCTGTTTCTTATCTCGATAAGGGTTACATTCTCCCCAAATAGGCCCTCTAAAGATGCCACAATTTGTTCTAGACTGGCCTGAGCATCTTTGGCGGCACTATTACTGACTGGTGGGCATCATCTTTTAAGGAACTGATAGCCAGCTCTGCAATCAGCCTGGTGGGTACTTGATAGAGGCTGATAGCAATCTCCAGCCTTTCTTCCCACTCTAAAAGGGAGATGTTGGATCAATGAAGTTTGGGCACTAGAGGCAGGGATGCTCCGAGCGGTGCCATGTTGGCCAATACAGAGGTTGCAGGAAATGTATTGTCAAAAATATTTCAACAAACAGTAACAGAGTCTACACAGTGGCTTAGAACTGACAGCAACAAACACAGAAGGTTATACAGTAATTGCAGAGAACAATTCACAGAGGTCTGCAGCACCTGGCGCAGGGGGGTGGATGGAAGCAGTATACAGCAACAAACTAGTAGCAGAAAGGTTCCCCACAGTATCTCTGATGACAGTCCCTATGCTGTCCCGGCTCCTCTGGAATACCTCTCTATCAAGCAGGTTCCTGTCCCTGACCTGACCGCACACAAAATGCTTGCCAGCTGCGGGGAGCCAGTGCTTTTTATAAAGCACTGCCCTCACTAAAGATGGCCTCGTGGGTCACCCAAGTGGCAGTGTCCAATCAGCCAGAAGGCCACCAGTAAACATGTACAGAGGCCTAAGAGAAAACATGAATTCCTTCTGTCTTTCACTCCCCTTGTAGAGTTGTTGCAGCAGTCCACTTGTGTAGGGAGGCCATACTACAGCTACCTACAAGTGGTATCCAAATGATTGAAAGCATCCCTTTATACAGGAGCTGCAAATTGCTACAGTGCATTTTACAGCACGTGTTGAAAAAGGCCCACACAACTGATGTGGCCCACACAGCTGAGCTGAGTATGCCAAGGTGTGTACATTTGAGGGTTTCTGGTCCTGGGAAGAAGTGGACATTTGCAATATTTCCCAACTATACTCCAACAATACATTGAAATCCCTTCCTGATCTTCAGGAAGAGTTTTTCTTACCTAGGCACAAGTTTTATAGATACCTTCAGCTAAGACATGCCTTCCAGGTACAGGCCAGACATTCCACGTTGTCTTTAGTTGACCACCCTTTCTTGACAGAAGTGATGTTGGAAACCAGTAAAAAGGGTATGATCTCTAGGATTTATTCCACTCTGCTTTCCACTGTACAAGATTCCACTAAATTGCCCTGCAGGCGTAAGTGGAACAAGACCTAGGGCATTTTGGAGGAGAAATCTTGGAGCTGGGCGCACAGTCCACCACCCTTAGTTATGTTTGTAAGTTGTATAAATAGTCCCAATCATTTCTGCTACATAGGGCTTATCGTACACCAGTCCAGTTGTATAACTGGGGTAGTCAGAATTGGGATTCTCCTATTTGCCCCAAATGTCGCAGTGATGACCTCATATACCTGTTGGGGCGATACCCTAACTTTTCCAATATTGTAAAGGAGTCACTGATACAATATCTGCTGTGTTTCAACTTACAGTTCCTATGGATCCTATGGTTTATTTACTGGGCACTATTGATGAGCAACCTTTTCCTTTACCACAACATATAGCCGTCATCCGATTATTATATGTGACCCGAAAGCACATTGCTAGATTTTGCAAATCAGGATAAGGTGCAGCGCAAAAAAGGTATATAATATCGTAACCTAAAAATGACTATAAAATAACATAATATAATCCTTATTTCAATCTAGATTATTCAAAAATACAATAAAACAAAACAAAAACGAAATAAAGTCCCATAAAATGTTCTCTGATAAGATAGTGATATTCAAGGTGAATTCCCAACAAAAATGCGTGAATATTCTGAGAATTAGGTGCACATCATAAAGTGTGAAATAATCATAATCCGGTGGTGTGCGATAAATCAGTGGGATTGCAAACTCACCAGAAGCGCGATCTTAATGCACAATAGTCATATACACCAGCCTGAGGATCTCCCCTCTATGGAGTACAGTCTGGTCTAGGATTCTCCTCCTCTGTCAGTCTAGGCATTTAATGATGTCAATCGGAGGTCCCCTATATGGGCTGTGTAGTGATATGGTCTGGTCACAATAATCCTTCCTCTGAGCTGGAAAACCACACCTGGGTCCTGGGGGTTTAAGTGCTCATGGTGGAGCAAAAAATATAGGAACCCATAGTGTAGTAAGCTTATATTTATTGAGAAATTATTCAAAACCAAAAGGTAAAATAATGGTGTACACACAGTTGCCGAAGCTGTAAGGTACCTCCGCCAGTGACAGGCTATGCTGGACCAACCGCCCATGTGCTCAGCTACACAGAAAGCCGACGCCGCTGGCAGGACTGAGGAGGAGAGAGCAGGAAGCGTTTACTCCTGTTGCCAAGGAGACCTGTAGAAGGTGAAGCAGAATTTATTGATTTCCCCCCTGATTCTTGAAGTTGTACCTTTGCTATTTTCCTGCACACAGTTGAGGACATTGCACATAGTTATATGAAGTTGCAGCCTAGTTCCTTCAGACACTATCATTTGACCACATTTAACACAGCCTTATCATCAGAGCAGATAGCAGGACAGTCAGTCCACAGGTTGAACCACCACTCTGTCACCATCATCATCAATTCACTCTACTAAGGAGGCCTTTTCCTATTGTGCCAATAGTCTTGCAGTCCAAAGAAGAGTTGCCCTGTGCCAACAATCACTTTTTACCAGCCTGGCTACTTGTTGCTATAGATTCACTAGTGACTGGTACCTTAAAGGAATATTACATCAGACGAATTGTTGCTTGCAGGGGGAGTGTTGTTTTTTTCCTCTATTGCATTTTTCCTCAGAGAGTTACAGTCCACACTTCTTCTCACTATGCACCAACTGGGCCCCATCACGCACGCAGAAGACTCTCCATTGTCTTTTAAGAACGTTGGTTGTTTTGGGGTAAAGAGCTCTTTTCCTTATTTCAGGCTGTCTCCTTGCCATCAAGTCCTCAGGGCACGAAGTTAGTCTGATAGTTCTAGCTGCTTACTGGGGACTGTAAGACCACCTCAGGTTGGAGGTCTTGGGTTAGTTTCTAAAAAACAAGCCTGCTAATACTAACTGAAATTCTATGATAAGTGTCTTTTCTTAAGTTCAAAATGACACAAGTAATAATTGATTTTACACATTCCAACTTTGTTTATGCCGTGTAACCAAGTCATGTTGAAGTTTGCTATAAACCTCTTACTAGTTTACTTCAATCCGTGTGTGAATTCACTTTGTGGTGGTGATTTATTTCACTTAGGAGTATACTGTGGTGTCTGCAGGGGTTGGGCTTTCAGAGAGGGGTCCAGATCCACAGGGAACCCGAAAACTATTCAGCAATTCCTAAGGGGTAGTGTTACAACTGTATCACAATTATTTATAGAGATATTGTATCTTTGGCTCAAATATTTGCAAGACAGAATAGGATTAGAAATACTCTTACAAAGGTGTGGCATGTGAGCTGTTAGTGGAGGGGGGTTATTGGTTTGAAGGTTTGACAGATGGATAGCGGAGAACATTAGGGAATGGCAATGATACAGCATTGACTTCACCAAATATCACAGCAAAAATGACTTTAAAGCAGAGTTTCTCAACCAGGGTTCCTCCAAAGCTTGCTAGAGGTTCCTTGAGCAATGAGCAATGTCTGCCTTGAAATAAGTTCCACTGACACCATTGATCTTTTAGGGAGTAATTCATTTCACTGACCATCACTCTAATGTATCATGAGTTGTAGATATAACCATTTATAGCAGGGGTTCCCTGAGACTGAAAAAAATATGTCAGGGGTTCCTCTGTGTTGAAAAGGTTGAGAAAAGCTGCTTTAACCACTTGCTTACCAGGCACTTATACCCCCTTATTTACCAGGCCAATTTTCAGCTTTCAGCGCTGCCGCACTTTGATTGACAATTGCGCGGTCATGCAACATTGTACCCATATGAAATTTTGATCATTTTTTTTCTACAAATAGAGCTTTCTTTTGGTGGTATTTAATCGCCACTGGGCGCTTTACTTTTTGCGCTATAAATAAAAAAATTGCAAAAAATTTGAAAAAAAAAAAAAAGTTTCTTTGTTTCTATTATAAAATTTTTCAAACAGGTATTTTTTCTCCTTCACTGATGTGCGTTGATGAGGCAGCACTGATGGGCACTGATAGGCGGCACTGATGGGCACTGATAGGCAGCACTAAAGGGCACTGATAGGCAGTACTAATGATGGTGGCACGGATAGGCGGCACTGATAGACAGCACTAATGGGTGTCACGGATAGGCGGCACTAATATGCAGCACTGATAGGCGGCATGATAGGTGACACTGATGAGGGTACTGATAGACGGCACTGACTGGCATCACTGCTGGGCACTGACTGGCGGCACTGACTGGCACAACCCCCTGGGCACTGACTGGTGGCATGACTGGCAGCACTGCTGGGCTGCACTGGTGGGTGGCACTGGTGGGCAGCACTGGTGGGTGGGCACAGGTGGGTGGCACTGGTGGGCACAGGTGGGTGGGCAAGTGGGTGGCACTGCTGGGCACAGGTAGGTGGCACTTCTGGGCACAGGTGTTGTGTGACACTGCAGAGTGGCACAGGTGGGTGCACTGCTGGGGCACAACTGGTGGGTGATCTGCTGGGCACAGGTGGGCACAGGTGGGGCAGAGCTATGTGGGCGCACTGCTGGGCACAGGTGGGTGATCTGCTGGGCACAGGTGGGGCAGAGATAGTGGGCGCACTGCCTGGGTCACAAGGTGGGGCGGAACTTGCGGGTTGGCACTGCTGGGCACCGATCATTTCAGGGCACTGATCATCAGTGCCTGATGATCGGTGTGCCGATCCCCGCTCTGACAACTGCCGGTTCTCGGCTAGTACTTTCCTCACGATTTGACAGCGTGGTGGCGTGAGGGAAAAGTGCAGCCGAGGAATCGGCACTTGCATTTCCCTTGATCAGGCGTGTCATTTGGGACACCGCTGATCACGTGGTAAAAGGCCGCTGTGATTGGCCTTTTCTACCACATCCACGTGATCAGCTGTGTCCGTTAGGATTTTTAGGACACAGCGATCACGGAGTCGCCGGGTGTGCGCGCCCCCTGGGGCGCGCAGGGAGAGCGTCGTTCTGGGAGGACGTCATATGACGTCCCACTCAGAACTGGGCCCCGCCGGCCGCAGTGTAGCCATCCATTCGGCTCACTTTAAATCTGCGGTCGGCAACTAGTTAAAGTGTAACTATAGGCAAAATGTTATTTTTCATTTTGGGATAGTGTAATGAAGGGTTAGGATGCTCCATTGCCATCTGGGTAGATTTTCCCTTCACATCTTGTCCCATTACAAAAACAGGAAAGTGAGAGGAAATCCCCTGCAAAATTAAAGGAATTTCATTGGGACCCCAGGAACCTTGGAAATTTCCCCTCTATTAATATTCTGGGGACAACCCAAAAATGGGATTTTCTTTTAATTTCACCTTCAATGAAAATGGTTAAACAGGACATATAGAGAGGGTGATGAATCTCCTAAAGGGGGCATAGACAGCATTATAAATCATAACAGGTTTTCTACTCCCTCTTCATACTAACCAAAAACATACAAAAAAAGTATTTTATTTAGTTATACTTTAACCTTTTCTCTGCTTCCAGCTGGCCAAATCCATACGCCTTATGGACCTGACATTCCTCACATTCCTGCTTCTGCTACATCGGTTATAGTATAGTAAATGTTCAGCAGACTCTGCTGAACAACAATAATATCTCTCTGATTAGAGGCTAACAAGCAGCTGATTAGAAGTATTAACAACTTAAAATGTGACCCCCCCCCATTGGCTGCTGATGCTGTGTCTCTCAGCTTCTGCCTCCTCCCCCCACTTCTCTACCTAGTGCACTAACCTTCAACCCCCCCCCCTTAATGGCCCTTCCTCCCCGTATCTATGTCCCCCCCCCAGCACCAATCCACAGTGGCTCCCATGCAATTACTGGCTTCACTCTTTTACCTCTCCCACAAGCAATTGCATGGGAGCCACAACCTTTAAGAGTTAAGTAATTCCTGATGCTGTGACTCCTGTTCAGTGCAACCCCCCCCCCCCATCCTCTCTCATCATGATACTGCTGGCTGCAGCCACTGACAGCTGCCAGGGTGAAGAGTAGGAGGCTGTACACAATCCTGACAGCTGTAAGTGGAGTGAAGAGGGAGAGCCACTGCAGCTTCCTTTCTTGAATTCAGACAGCAATCAGTACAGATGATTTCGGTATTCATTAATCACTGACCATAGTGAACTGTGTTTACTGTGTCAGTTTGTGAATTAAACATAGTAAACACTGTTTACTATGACCTATTTTATGAATGAATAGGAGTCTATACAGACTCCTATCCATTCATCTACAATGCAGCTCAGGCTGCAGAGGAAGGGACTGTCTTCAGTCCCTTTCTCTGTCTCATAAAAAAGATATTAGAGATCTGTTTAGATCCTCGATGTAGCTCCAAAGCCCCCCCCAAAAAAATATTTAAAATGAATTTTAATTGGTTAACAAAAATAAATAAATACAACTGTAAAAAAAAAATAAAAACAGATAAATAGCAAGGCTAAGTTCATTCACACTAATGCGGGCCGTGCTGGCTCACCTTCATTTGAATGGTCTACCGTGCAAGCAGTTCACACCAAAAAGGTTCATGCACCTTTCCAAAATGCATCCTGAAGGAAATCACATAGTTTTTTTCACCATGCGGTTTCCTTGTGGTTCCCACACCCACGATTGTTCTGGGGCTGAAATGTGTGTGGGTGTTATTCAGCATGAAAGGCAGCCCGTGCGTCTTCCTGCAGGTGGTTGCAGGTGCAGGAAAAAGGTGCGGTGCGGGCTGCAATTCGGGCAGCCTGTGGGCTAGTGTGAACCAGAACTAAGGGTCCAAATCTTCCTTACCTCAGAAACCTGAGGCTACTCTCCAGAGGCTACTGACAAGCAGTGGGGAAGCGATGCGACGCATTTTCACCACCTGTTTTAACCCTATTTTTGCAGACAAATGCACTGCATTGCATGAGGTTGCGGGGTGTTTGCGGTGCTTCCCCCCATTTTTTCCCGGATTTAAGTGTTTTTTTTAGTGAAAATTGTGATTTTTTTTTTTTATGTTGATGGTTGACTGCAAGTAAAAAGAGAGAGCAGGGAGGGGGAAGGACCCTCCACCACTTCATAATGGTGGAAGGTGTTCCATAGCTGAAAGTACCCCACATGGTATGTTGGAATTCGGAGCCTGAAAGGTTAACTGTTGGCCCAAAACAAAATAGCAAGTAGTAATACAGTAAGAAAACAAATTTAATAAGTAAAAAGGGGGATAAAACACAATGGGACAGGCGGGAAGGGGGGTACCATGTCACCTTTGGTTGGCCAACATTAGTTTAGGTGGCTTTCAGGCCCAAGGGGAATGGTAATAAAGGATAACTTGTAAAAAGAAACATTAGTGATAATGTTGTAATTTTCTCATTTTCTAGGGCTTGATAACCCCAGTCAGTCAGATTAGAGGAGTGGTTTGTTGGGGAGCCAAGATTCTGATTTGAGATAGTGATTAAACTTTGATTCGCTCATTTGGAGGGAGTGTTATAGTACTAAATTGGCCCCATTTACATTGTAAGTTCTCTGTGGCTCTGGAGTGGGATAGATCTAAATCCACTTTTTCCTTACGGAGCACCCAATGAAACCTTTTTTGACATCTGCTATTGTAAGGGATGAGGAGGAAGTACACTTCTTAAGGATAGCATGTCTAGCAGCCATGAAGCAGGTTGTAAGTCAGGCCTTGGTGCGTTGGAGAGCCACAGCCTGGGCTCTTGATGGCTCTGGGAGGTTATCAGCTAGGTATCCAAAGAGGAGCTTGAAGGGGTCCTTGGATGGTTGGCAGCCTGTTACTACTGAAAACAAAACTTCCCAGTTGGTCCTAGAAGACAGAGATGAATATACATGACAAGAATCTATTGTGAAGAGTTGGCCTGTGTTCCTTGCATAAGGGGCAGCACTGTTGCTATGAATGTCTAGACAACAGACAAGGTATGTATGCTGGATGCATTATTTTAAATTGCTGCTGCCGTCCGAATTAATTGGTTACGAAGGTGTAGATGGAGTTGTAGCCCGCTAGTATTTGGTCCATTGCCACAGGGGAGTGGAAGTCTTTAGTCGAGGAGGTAACAGAAGAGGATTTGGTTAGCAGTAGATTCAGCAGTCTGTAGATGTCCAAGATTTTGTATTGTTGATGTTGCAGTAGAATATCAACAAGTGAAGTATGGAATCTGTGAGGTCTTTTGGAGCAGAGACTAGTGACATGGTTCACCACTTGTTGAGCATATACAGTATAAAATGGTGAGGAGGTAGGTCAAACTGCTTCATGAGGTGGGGAAAGGGCAGAGCAGCACCCGTGGATACATCAAATAAACTCACAACAGCTATGAGCCTGTGGGAGACCATATAGGATATGTCAAAAACTGTTGCACCTGTGGGAAGTTTAGGTTTTTTGTGAATTGAAGGTATAGGGATATCCTGGGTGACATACCCAATTTGCGTCTGAGTTTTCCCAAAGCTATTATCGTATCCTGTAAGAGTAAAATATGTTTCAGTTGAAGTGGGAGTGTAGATTGCAATGCAACAGGGCCTGTAGGCTACATGGGTCTACCATTTGTGACTCCAGGTATCTAGAGGTCTGAGAAATCCAGTCCAAACAAACCTTTAATAGACAGGAAAGGTTATACACCCTTATATTTGGCAGACTGGATCCCCCTTTCCTCCTGGGGAGATTTCGTTTTTGTGGAGGAATGTGGGGGGGGTGGCGTCTGCACTAGAGGAATTTCATTAAGGTTTTGCGAAGCTTTTGAAGATCTAAGTGTCTTAGCAGGAGGGGAATAGTTTGAAGGGAGTAAAGGTGTTTGGGAAAGCTGACCATTTTGAATAAGTGACATCTCCAAATGAGCGAGAGCAGGAGGTCCGTCTATGTTTCTAACTCAGATACCGAGAATGACACCCCGGCATCCAGGACAGGAGAAGTGGGACTGTGCAGAGTCCATACATACAGAGTAAGGACAGATACTGAGAATGACACCCGGCATTCAGGACAGGAGAAGTGGGACTGTGCAGAGTCCATACATACAGAGTAAGGACAGATACTGAGAATGACACCCGGCATTCAGGACAGGAGAAGTGGGACTGTGCAGAGTCCATACATACAGAATGACAGATACCAAGATGGACACCCGGCATCCAGGACAGGAGAAGTGGAACTGTGCAGAGTCCATACATACAGAATAAGAACAGATACCGAGATGGACACCCGGCATACAGGACAGGAGAAGTGGAACTGTGCAGAGTCCATACATACAGAATAAGAACAGATACAGAGAAAGTCTCCATTTATACAATATTTTTGCTGGTTTAATAAGGGCCATGATTCCTTTTCAGCCTTTCCAAGAACAGGCACAAGCTGTTGGTGTTTATTAGATATGTACACTACGACATACATATCACTCTGTCCATTAATGGCAGATGACACATAATTAAGTTGTACATGGAACATATTTTTATCATTGAATGTATGAGGTTTAGTATAATACAGTAATAATGAAGGGAAAACAGCATTCTTTTCATGTATTGTAAATGGCCTGACTCTAACATTTCTGTCCTGCCCAACTGCATGTGATATGACTGGTAAAACCTGACTGCAGTATCAGCACAGAGGAGATTGCCGAGATGCTGCTGAGAGCAAACCGATCATGTCCAAGGGACAGGTACAATGTATTTTGTTTATACTTATGTAGCGCTAT